ACCCTTTGATAGTGACTTGAGTAATCTAGACCTTGCCACTCTGACAAACGGTGTGTTTAACGGACTTCCACTTTTAGCGGAACTGTAAGTAAATTATATTGATATAGAGTTGATGAGTAAAAAGTATTATTTATTTATTAATAAATTATTACGTCCTAACGATTGTACATGTTCTCCGTAAATATTTATTCATTTATATTTGTTATACTACTAAATGTTTACTTTTTGTACAGAAATATATCACACAATAAAATAAGTGTTGGCAGACAAAATTCATTTTTCTACTATCTATACAATTTGACCAAACTGTTAGTAATTCATATATTATTTCATATTTTGAGTTATTATTCGAGTGTTCTTTGCTTATGTTGATTAATGTTTTTTTCATGTTGATTGTATGGTACAATTTTATGAAAGATGTCGTACAACTGTGTAGTATGATGATGATGATGATGATGATGTATTGTTTTTGTCTTATCAGATATTCTGACAGATTGTATTTCTGTTGTCTAGCAAATGAACGACGCAGTGGTATCCCTCTCGAGACTTGCTATTCTCCAAGGGATGCATTTTCATCATGTCATGAACTGATGGCGAGTGAAGTACTTCGTGTTTTTCTTTGGGTACTTGGAATCAGTGCGTTACTTGGCAACATCTTTGTCATACTGTGGAGACTGAGGGATCGCAGAGAAAGACTGAGAGTACACTCATTTCTGATTTTCAATCTTGGCCTGGCTGCTTTATTGATGGGAGTGTAAATGTTGACCATTGCCTCAGTAGATATGTATTACCGTGGGGTTTACAGCATATATGATGACGCTTGGAGACATAATATGTCAGCTTAGTGGAGCACTTTCTATGGTATCCAGTGAAGTTTCTGTGTATATTCTGAGTGTTATAACACTTGATCGTTTTATTTGTATAGTATTTCCATTCAGTGGAATCTCCATACTGGTCGTGTTGTATGTGGTATTGGTTGGTGCATAATCATGGCTTCAGTGATTCCTTTGTTACCCCAGGAATATTTTAACGGCGAGTTCTACGCCCGTTTTAGTGTGTGTCTACCTCTCCAGATTTCAAACTCTAAAGCTTCTGGTTGGCAGTATTATGTGTCTATATTCCTAGTGATCAATGGGGTGTCCTTCCTAATGATCTTCTTGGCATATGTAATCATGCATCAGCAGGTACGGAAGACCAGTAGAGCAGCGTCGTCGTCCAAGAGACAGAGTGAAGTCACCCTTGCTCTACATATGACAGCTATCGTGGTGACAGATTTTCTCTGCTGGTCACCTATCATATTGTTGGGTATTATAGGACTCTGTGGCGTCTACGTTCCGTTCGAACTGTACGCAATCACTGCTGTTTTCATCCTCCCTTTCAACTCGTCCATCAACACAATTATTTATACAGTTTCTACGCTGAAATTCAGAAGATGTTAAGAATGGTTAACCAATGAATAATACAGTGAATGCCAACGCAGCTGTAAAACCATCTGGTGTCACGTGACCGTCAATTGAAGATAACAAGTAAGTTGTATAGCTAACCATCGTCTCCGTTAATTCGAGTGTCGTCGTAAAGCCTTGTTTATTATGAACGACATAAACAACGTTAAATGCATTGTTTGTTTGAACGCTGCATGATGATTACGACAGCAAAACAATAGTAGCGATAGTTACTAACAATACATAGTGGCAAATAATGACAATTACTACTAAAAAAAATCTGCTGTGGAAGTGTAAGGAACGGCTCTTTGACATGATAGTCTTAGGTCCGCGGAAGTTGGTTCGCGCGCAATTGCCATAAAAAATACTATCGTATTGCAGTATTACTGTCTAAGACAATCGTATTATCGTATTATGGATAGACTGGTCAGGTCATCGTATTAATACCACTGTACTAGCTCTAGACAGCCCAGACCATTATATTATTAGATAGACTGCCCGACTTACTTAAATACTCCGTACACACACATTGGCGACCACGCGCTAATGTTGAACAATCGATGTAGAACTGCAATAATACAGAATGTACATATATTCAACATTATAGTTCGTTGCCAAAAGAAAGTCAAGATAAGATTTCAAATTACCTTTCAAAACTCGTCACTTGAATGTAGAATGCGAATTTCGCTAAAATACTGCTGCTTGTGTTCTCTCAATCACGCATTAAATGTTGCGGGCCGTAGATCATGCCTAGGAGTAGGGGTGTCATGTCTTATAAAACAGCTCGCCTAAAGATTAATCTCAATATTGTTTTCACAGATATAATTCACGAAATCGGTAACAATAATTTGTTACCTTCGTATTCGACTGCTGCAATGGTCAACCGTCACCAGATTCTAGTATTGTTATCAAAATACATTGGAGACCTTGAGGAAACTGGGACTTGGTTAGAACCACGTGACCTGTGGGGCATTGCTATTGGTGTTGCTAAGGCGATGAATCTTTTACACAGCCATGGAATAGTGCATGGTGGGGTGGATGACGTGCATATCATGGTTGAAAAAATCAACTTGGTGAGTGTTATTTCTTCACTTATCAGTTTTACTCTGAACAAATTAATACTATTCACGGAAA